ATGTGACACGAATGGCGATACGAATGACGTCACAATCCCCGCCTCGGTTTGTTTGTTGTTTAGAAAATTAAATGGCGGCAAGATTTGATGTGGTAAGTGACGATGAAGTAAATGCATTTTCCGAACAACTAGAGATCGAGAACACCACAATAAACAATGACATCACATGACCAAGGACACCACAATGAATCATTTTAAAGGAAATTCTCGAAAGTTGTGACGAGACAGAGGTAAATTTTTGTGCTATGCGTGCTGAACAGCCTTCAAAGGTTCGAAGTGAAAAGAGGCTGACAATTTACAGTATCTGAGGATCAAGTCAGAGTCAGCAGTCGAATTTTCATTTAGCTGTAAAACCAGTTCACATGTATTTTTGGCCTAATTGACGGTGTTTTTTGTAAAACTTTTATAATTTGGGCACCGGGTATTTTGTTAGTATACCCAGTATTTGTATTAAAGCCTGCTAGAGATATTTATTCAGGGAATTTCTATCTTAACAGTCCCTTCCTAGTTTTGGACCATTCCTTCAGGAAAGAAATGCTGTTGTTGCGAGGTATAAAGAAAACATTGACCTATTGGGTAAAGAATTTGAGCCCGAGGAAGTCAGGCCAGCTTTTAAACCGGACAAACCTGCTCTACCACTCAAGGTAACTTGAATACTGAATGTTCACCATAGAGGGCACAGTTTGAACATTCAGTGGATAGAGAGGAATCTATTTTGAAATACTTTCAGTGATTTCATGTAATTATCTTTCGTTCTGTGTCTATAAAGTAGAAATTTCTGGTATGAATTCATTTCTTTTAGCATCAGCATTTTACTTTGGCAGGATGTAGTTGGCGCAGCTTTGGACCGAATTGGCTCCTATGGTGACCTGGATAACAGGCAACAAGTTGTTGCTGTAATTGACGAAGATTTATGTATAAACTGTGGCAAATGCTACATGACTTGTAATGACTGTGGCTATCAGGCCATCACCTTTGATGCTCAAACACATCTTCCGCATGTTACTGACGACTGTACTGGCTGTACATTGTGTTTTTCTGTTTGCCCAGTTATCGGTAAGACTTCGTCAGATACTTTAATATCAGACCTCTCATGTAGGCTGTCTGCTTCCAATGTGTTGGGTTTTTTCCCCCTACTTAACATTTCAGTTTTTCCCCCTACCAAGCATTTCAGTTGGAAGGAGGCTGAAGGCGACCTAGTTAAAATACAAACCCTGTCGGTATTCGGATAGGTATTAATCTGTTATCATGCTAGTTTCTTGTCTCTATCGTAGCAAGGACAACTTAACCCTTCGCCCTCCGGCCTCAAAGGTGAAATTGACATTTAAAGGCTACAAAACTTTAAAATTGATTGATGCTTACTGAAAATATTGATGTCAATGAATGATGGTTGATGTCAATTATTTTGAGAATTTAATCGATGATGGCTGTTTTCTTGCAGATTGTATCAAGATGGTTCCGAGGGGAGGTCCTTACAAGCCAAGCCGTGGTGTTCCGCTGGCTGTTATTGGAGAGGCATAAATTAAATTCAATCAGCAGTCGTACTGACTGCTGAACTTTTGGCAGTCCACATCAATCATCAGACATTTTAGAGTGTACCGAGTACTTTCTCCACAGGGAACACTCTTTTTTTTCTTTTTGTGGTCTTAAATCCGTTATGATTATTTAACTTGAGAAGGGTTGGGAATTGGACGATAATTATTTGTTTCATTCTGTTATCCTTTTTATGTTTTTGTGCCTTAGGGGAGCTTACCTTTTATACAACTACGATGATGCTAGAGATGATACTAGTGATATCGAACAGGTGATACGCAAAATCAGTGATGACTGTGTGGTCAAGAATCGTGATCATGAGCATAGTTATCGATGTTCTCAGTAAATTTCGTTTTGTACTTAATGCAAATAGTAATAAAACTCTCCCTTCAGTATTTGCTACTATTTTTTATTTTTATTTTAAAGTTGCACGTTGTACTTTTGATATTTTTGATGAAGAAGTATGCTCCAGGTATGAAAAGGATTTGTAAAGAGTTATTTAATCATTTCGACTGAGGCACACACAACACCATACAGTTATACAGTTATACAGTTCATACAGTTATGTTCGAAAACTATAAAATTATTTCTGGCCAGAATGCAGTTTTTTGCAACTCTCAATTGCTCAAACGCTGAGGGGCGGATGATGGTCTTAGGATCTCTGTCAGCAGACTGCGAAACACGTGACCCGAACCCCACACTCTATTACCGTCCTCAAATCCGTTGCGATCATGGTTGATTCTGTTTAGGAGTTTTGAGAAGCATAACCGAACAGAGCGGCAAGAGATGTGCGAAGGAAAAATATAAGAAATAGGTTTCTTAGCTCCTTTTTAAGGTTTTCTTCTCACTTTTACACCTCTACCGCAGGAAAACCGCCAGCTTGTGTAGTCCAAACCTTCAGTGTCGGTTGCGGAAAATGGCCCGAAACAGTCCCGCGTACCCCAAAGAAAAACGAGGGAAATAGAGCAAGGTTTTGAAATAAGGGAAAATACCCAGAGAGATATTTGGTGTAGAAACACTAGCTTGTCTTTCGATCGTTGCGGATGCCTCTGCAACGTTTAGTTAATTTTACTAATTTTGCCATTTAAGGAAAGTAAGCCGCACGCTGTATCCTATGAAACTAAGATCTTAGTGCGGAACCACATCCGTTTAGTAGGAACACAGTGTGACATAGCCAGATTGTCAAATAAAGAACTTAAAAATAAACAGACGTCAGCCGATTGACGACAGTAATGGATACGAGAAATCTTACTGCTGAAAGAGCTTCGCGTCAAGAGTAGTTTGAATTGTGTGGGAGAAATCACAACTTAAAGTCGAGCAGCGATGACTTGTTTTGGGCGGTTGAGGACACACATGCTATCATTACCACATTTGTGGTATGAGCGATATTTTTATTTTCGGAGAAAAAAAAGATTACGGTTAACCTCGATATATGTGCATCGCATTTATCAAAACATGAGTCGAGTGCACGGCCGTTGTTATTGTGATTTGTTGTCTCGGGCTGTCAGAGCGTCATGGTTTCTTTCAGCTATCGATTTGCTCAGTATGCCAAAAAGTCCTTTATGTTTTTCGTTTCAGCTCATGGATGAGAACAATCTGTCCATTTTATGACGAAGTAAGTAAGACAATCTGAGAAAAGCTTAGCCGTACGGAAATGGTGAAGACAAAACTGTCTATGGCCGGGGTGGAGAGAGCTGGGCGGTAAAGTAGAAGATCACAAAGTGTTTTGGTCACGTTCTGCTTTGTAAAGGCCTGTTTACATGGAGGTGGGGGACCCCAGGGCGGTGAGGTAACCCGCCTAGGCGGGTTGCCCGGTCTGCTAGCTAGGGTAACCCTGTCAGCCGGGGTGACAATTTGCCACGTAAACGTCTCAAGGTGGGGTAACCCGCTAAGTCGGGATCGCGTTCATGGCAAAAAGCTCAAAAGCGAAACATGTTTTAAAACTTTTTACATTTCCTAGCCGTCTCATGGCAGAAATCACCAGAAAGCGCAACGGACACACAAGGAGCGTAAAATGTTCACATTTCGGAATATTTAGCGTTGTAAATCGACCATATTTCGTTTCCCAAACTATTCCGTATTAAGTCAACGGTTCTTTGCGTAACCTAACACCGCGTAACACAACGCGCGACGCTTTCATGAATAAATACATATGTGTCCGAGAATCAATCTTTCGTCTTTCTCGAGATGTGAGCTTGGGTCGCTTCTGCTTAAACTCCTTAATTGCAAGCGCAACAACAACCTCAAGAAACCTCACTCCAGCACCCCGGGGTTGTAAGATTGTATATAAACGCGTTTTATGTTTCGACCACGGCTAGGCGGGTTACCTAGCCTACCTGGCGTCCCTCACCTCCATGTAAACAGACCCTAACTCTTCGTGATTCTTGCTGCTCCTCGTTATATTAAGAGCATGGACGATTCGAAGATCCTTTACACTTAGTCTTTAAGTTGATCATAGCACTAATCTGAAACATTCGCATTTCCTCGTTATGTTAAGCGCATGGACGATTCGAGGATCCTTTATGCTTGGTTTTTAAGTTGATCATAGCACTAATCTGAAACATTCGCAGTCCATTTCAATTTAGTAAATGTCGAAACAGCCGTGTAAAGACAATAACCTTCCACCTAGGGTGATGCTATATCGAAGGCGGTCGTCGAGGGTCGAACACAAGTTTATACCGCGGTTAAACGTACAATTTGTCATGTAAGCTTCAGCACTTGTTCCCCACGAAAAATTCAAAAAAGGAATTGTTCCAGATCGTTCTTAACAAAGGAGCTTTGAGGTCCTGCCACAGTTTCTTGATTTTGTTTGAGTATTTTGTGGTTGTCATAAAATAACCACTGGGATATATTTCTTTTGAACAATTTTCATGGGATTTTTACCTGTAAGCTAAATGCGAGTTCAAATTTTTTTTTTATAACGGGCACATAAAATAGCATTACACCTTCACTCTTTTCGTCCAGTATCAATCATTAGGAGAAGAAGAAATATTACTAAATGCGTGATCGCGTAGTTTATAGCGATTCCCAAAATCCTAGATTCATGAAAACGAGCCATCAAACTAAACTTCTCTGTTTTTGTTTACTCACACGATTTTTTAAAGAAGAATGATTAGTCGCCGCCATCATTACGCATTCTAGTGTCTTAATCAAAAATTGTCTTCTGTTTTTTCGCGGGCTTTCGCAATATTCGCGGGTTTCATGATTCCCCGCTGACCAAAATTACCGTGTACTCTTACCCTCGGCGAACGCCTTCGATATAGCGTCACCCATAAACTTCGCAACGGTCGATGCAATCACAAGGGCGCAAGGACTTCGGACTTCTTCGGAAGGATAGATCTCTAGTTCGGAGCCGACTAATTACGAAGAGTCCACACCAATTTTTATATCCCAAATTGCCCACAACAACTCGTTTCTACGCTATCGCGTATACACGAGTCAAAAATGAATTACACACGTGAAAATATTCATTCAAAATATTCAAATGATTGATTTATTGGCTCAGTTTCTTGATCATTGCCTTTTTCTTGAATGTTATGTAGATTTTTTGTTTTTTGATCATCTTCACTGTGTATCTCATTCTGACCTCGGTTTATTGCCGTAAAAGGTACACTTGATTTTGAAAGTGCTTCCTCAATTCCTTTTCGAACGTCGCCGCAGAAGGTGTCGTTGGCTTGATTATATGATTGAACTTCTTTTTCAGCTGGCCTGATTTCGAGTTGTTGAGGCATCTCTTCGTGGTAACAATTTTGTTTGCTGCTTTCGCCACCTACTGATTCGTCAACTGAGTATTCTGTGTCTTGCAACATTGGACTTTCCCCTGCTCCTTCAGGTGAGCGGTACAAAGGTTGCAGACTGAACGGTGTGAACCTTTCAGACACCTTTCGTGTCAGGGAAGCAGTTTGGTCAGTGACTAAGCTGATCCCTTGATTTGGTGTATCAACGCTCTGGCAATGGCTTCTTTCGCTCATTAACTGTGATTGATCCTCGCCAGTTTTTTTTTCTTTTTCAGTTGATCTGTTGTCGTTTTGTTGAGATTCCTCCTCTTTGCTGTAGTTAATGTCACTGTGTTCGCTGTCTACTGATTCTTCGACTATGGAGTTCGTATCTTCCAATATTGGATTGAGAGCTGCCACTTCAGGGGAACGATGCAACGGCTGCAGGCCGAACTGAGCTAATTTGTCAGATGTCTTTCGTGTCAGGGGAGATGTCTGATCGGTGACTGGGCTCAAGCTGCTGAAACAGCAGGGCTTATCATCACCATTGCAGTCGCTTTCTGGTGCAGAGTTGTTCGAAGGGATGTTTCTATCTTCAGGTTCCTCTTAAATTTTACTGTTGCCTTCTTGCTCGAGGTCTTAAGTTGCTCTACAGGTAAAAATATCTTCTCTCTCCGAGGCAACTGTTTCAGTTCCAATATTGCTATCAGCCTTCTTTCTCTGTCCGTCAGAATGGTCACATGTATTCTGTTTTCTTTTGCAGAGTCTCTGTAGGACTCCTCTCCTCATCCTACTTTAGTGGAAGCACCTGAATGTGAAGCTATATCCTTTTGTTTTCAACCTTAACCAACGTTTCTTTTAATTTTTCAACCACCGCTGCATTGGTAGGCATTCCAGGAGAGTATGCGGCTAGGGAATGCTCGGACTCTGTGCGATCTACTCACTGTTGGGGTCTCATCGAAGTTCTTTTTTTTCCTTAGTTTTGGTAGCCTCCATGTGCCGATTTACACAACACATCGTAACTTCTTCAGTTTCTTTCGAAACTGTTGAATTCTTAGCTGAGAGTTTCTCAAGTTTGCGCGCAATTTTTCGCTTCTGTTTTTCGATCCTCTACCTTTCTCGTTGTTCAACCTTTTCCCTTTTAATTGCCTTCTTTTCCAGTATTTCCAACCGCTTTAGTTCTTTCCGCTTCTTTTCCAGCTCCTTTACGCTTTTGTACTCTATGATCCCTCGAGGCTCATAGAACAATTTGTCACCAATGTCTTCGTTTACAACGGTTTCGTTTGCCTTGGTGACACGTTTGCAGCTCTCACCCTTTGGACTTTCATTTGATTCTCATCTGGTTGATCGTGTTCCTCTGTTGATTCGTTTTCATCACCTGTCTCTTCTTGGTATTTACGTCGTTCGGCTCTTATCTTTTCCAGTTTGCGTGCGACTTTCTTTTTCTTCTTGTCCATCTTTTCTTTCCATTTTTTGTCCTCGAGCTCTCGTCTCTGGGCTATCTCATCAAGGCTTTTAAGGTCGTCCTTTATTTCATCCTGTCTCCTTCTCATCTCCTCAATCTCATTTGTGATGCCATCTTCTCTTGCCTGGCTCTGTTTGATCTCCTCTACGATCTCGTTCATAGATTCAATAGTCTGTCTGTTTTCCTCCGCAAACTGTGCCTTGAGCCGTCTGGATTTTTCGTCCAGCTTAGCCATTTTCCTTTTGTATCCGCGGGACTCAGTGAAAGAGCTACAGTCCAACTCTTCCTCACTAATATCATTTTCGTCCATTTTTTTCTCTGTTTTTAGTTGGATATTTTGTGCCGAGCTCGTGACGGTAGCATCGCTTTTAACGAAGTTTATGTGATCACTTGTTTTTTCTTTCTCCCTGCATAAAATCAATTCATATTGATCAACGACATGCACATAAAAGTCGCTAGTGCTTAACTCCTACTGGGAAACTTTCTCGGCACTTTATTTTATACACATCTTCAACTAATCGGAAACTTCGAAAATTACCACTGCTAGTAATCCAAAACTGAGAAACGTCCTTACGAATAGAAAACTCTGGGACCGTTTTGTTGACTGAAACAAGATAACGCTAGATAACACAAGATAACTACATGTACCGATTTTTGGTATCCTAAGTGATAGAAACTTCGGATAATCCATTATTCGCGTTATTTACAAGGAATGAAGAAATTTAATGACGCCTGTCACCAGGAAGGTTGTAGCGAACGCACTGGTAAATTTCCAGACAGTTACTAGTACCATACAATTTATTTGGAACCAGTGGTTTCTGAAACATGATTAACTTAAATTACACCACAACCAACAACCGACAACAATAACTACGATTACAAAGCGAAACATCAACGGCAAAGAAAACGCAAAACGTACCTGATGGTTTGGATAAAGGGAGTACACGAAATGCCATAAAGAAACGATGAAAGGACGACAGACTGAATAACATAGTGTTCTTTTTCGCGCGAAAATTTAAATATATACATACGGGCGCGGGGACTGAAGCAGGTAAACCGCTGGCCCTGAGTTTGTTATAACAAAGGTTTTGGACAAACTTTAACACACATCAGATATAATTTACTCGATGTGTCACTGAATGGAGAAAGTTTTGAATACTAGAAAGCATAGACTGTCACTAAATTGTCTCAGAAGTGAAATTCACAAAAAGGAGTTCACTGAAAGCAAAGGTTACGACTGACTACTAACTTGTAGTCCTCTCTCAGCCACGGGGGGACATGAAGCATTGCTTTCTCGTCGCTAGATATCGAGAGACGTTTAAAGTCGTCGCCAAACTCACTGCCACTGAAATCTGCTTCGGTCCTTATACGGAGCTCCTCCTCATACACAGGTACAACATTACATTCAAAATCTGGCGTGACTTCTTCTCTGGCTGCAGATGATACCTCGCTAGCCGAGCTTTCTTCTCGTGGTTCTTTCTCATCGTTGCAGACCTGCTAATTAAAAAAAAACTTTGTTTTTGTTGCAGCTGTTGAATTTCTGAATATTAACAGGATAGTGACAACCGGTAATTAGGATGCTCGATACTGCTTACGCCTCAGCGCTTTTCTTCTCAGAAACCTAATCTTTCGGATTCACATAAAAATGGGAAACAGTAGACAATCACGATTTTAAGTTCTTGGTCCTCCAGATGAGACAGTTATCATCATGAGAGACTTTACTCATGATATTTGCTCATAAAACATTTTTCTCGCAATCTCGTTTCAATTAATCGATCTTATTGAGATTCACCTGTTTCGACTCGGTCTTGATGGGCGTAAGCTGTCGCGGTACTCGTCGCCTAACGTTTGGCGGCGTCTCTTTAGCACGCCAGTAGTAACTGACATATTTAGCTGAGTCGGTTGAAGGAATGGCGTTTGCTTTCTCCTTTTGTTTTTTCTCTTGAGTTTCTCGTAGGTTCATGTCTGTGATCAAATCGAGTTTGAAATTAATTTCCCCCTAAGAGGTATTAAGCACTAACATACATTGTTCGCTTAGAGGATGTCGTGAAGCTGTAACTGCAGGAATCTGCCCCTTCTTCGTGGAAACGAGCATCAATTTAATAAGTGGCTTGAAATCAAAGAGACGGTTAATTAAGGTAACAGCCTAAAGCGGCCTCTCTCCTGCTTTTTTATTTTTCAGAACAAAATCTCTAAGACTTGGAGAAGATTGATTGAGGAGACCGCAGTGGGAATAAATAAACCAATAGAAATAAAAGGATATACATGAAAATAAAACGCTAAATAGATAGATAGATGAATCGAAATATGATGATAAATAGTGATCAGAAGTAACACTCTTTTCTAGAATGAATAAATTTAAAGTTACTAGAAAGAATATTGTAATAATGCCTTTTTTCGCTCTGTTTTACGTAGTTCTGCCAAAATTTAGCACAACTTACCTTAACTGTTAATTTTTCACCTACGATTTACATCGATTTAGCAACAGTTCCAGCCGTTCACTTATAACTGTTCTTTAAGATCTTCTCAATCTTCGAGTAGTACTTGGATGAAAAAAAAATGTGGCTGACTGCTGAAAAACATACCTGAAGCTCCTCCAATGGGTTTTCCTTTACGAGCTGTTTTGACAGTCTTTGGTAGATTAACTTTAGTATGAACTTTACTCCTCCTCTCATCGGTTGTAATCGGAATCCGCGACGATCGCCTGTTTTGAACTTTGCTGCCTGAATCCTTTTGCAGATGCAGTTTTTTATAGGCGTCGTCCACTGATGAAGAACCCCTATCCTTGCACTTTTTTGTCAAATCAGATTGTGAAACGGTCCAAAATTCCCAAAGCTCCGAATCTCGATACTGACCGCACCGATAGCTGAAGCAAATGATTTTGTTTTGAGAGGAAATCCATGGAAACCATTTCTGACGAGTTTTCCGTCATACAGCCCGAGGAAACCTTCGATCGCTCGCGCACGGGAAGCTTTGGAGGACTCTGAGAAAAATCATATAATTAATTAATGCCCTAACTTTATAAATAGGAATTTCTTGGAGCTGTCTCCCTTCAGAAAGATGCCAACAGAAAAATATGGAGCGAAAATTAGAACGACGTGCGGATAAGAGTAAAGCTACTTTCCTAAACACTGGCTGCGCTGAAAGGCAGTAACAACGAAGCCGTAAAAATTGAACCTCGTAAACAACTAGACAAGGCTCAGTCACCTTTTGGATCAAACAAAACTAATTTCTGTTGGCCCCGTAATCTAATTGTCCCTTTGCAGAATGTTCATCGCATCCTCACTCCGTTAGATCCATTAAAGTAGCTGGACAAAGTCTTCCCAATTCATTCATCCGAAGTACGAAACCATTTTGGCGTTCCAGTAAATAAACGAAGGCTTCTTACAGACTCCACGCCCTATGTAGAGTTCCATCGTTGTCGGGTTACTTGAAAGGAAGGAATGGCAGTTGATAGGATCGATGTTCATCTATGGTCGCATACCTAAAAGTAAAGCTCCCAGCGAATACGCCGTGTAGAAGCATATTTTGGCGACGTAATCCAGCATTTCTGTTTGATCATGTAAAGTGATATCGAAAGTCCACATAACTTCGCAAGGAGGACCCCAATGGAAAACGCTTTACAATTTCCGATTCATCCTCGCCAACTCTCAATCCATATTGTCCTCAGCGTAAGTTATTGGCCTAACGTACACTTCCATATATTTAACTTTCGTATTAGAAGAATCACTTAAATCACTAAAACTAAATTTCGGACCGACTTAATCTAACACTTCAGAATCTGTTTTACATCACGATTGCAAGATGCAAACATTTATGCGTAAAAAAAGACAAACAAACAAACAAACAAACAAAGTATCTTCATGAGGAAAGAGGAGAAAGGAGTATGGGAACGAGTTTTTGTGGGGAAGCTCTCAGCCAATCAGAGAAAAAAGGCACGAGATTCGAACGATCAAAATAGTAGTAGTAGTTGTATTACTGCTCTTTTCTGATATACGAGTGGCAAATGCACCGATACAGTAACAACTTTGTCATCAGCTTCCACGGAATTTGAACATAATGCTTTCCTGGCGATTGTGTAGCACATTTAAACAAACATTAATGCAAATTCCGGAAGTTGTTTGGTAACTTAGTAGTGCCCAGGTTACGCATTTGTTCAACAGGCGTCTACCGTTTTGATCTTTGGTAAAAAGTCTGGGGCCAAGGTAAGGTATCAAGGTTGTTTATGTTATTAATATCTTGCGAGTCTTCGAGGGGATGGGAAAGGGGAGTCATTGTGGTGATTCCTCAGGAAGAACAATTTTAATTTTCCTTAATTGTTGCTTAGCAATGTCTGTCTCGAAAACTAAAATGGAAAAAATAGGTCACTGCGTTGTTTGAGAAATATGATGGGCCAATCTCACCCTATTTATGCCAGTACTAATACGAATTACGTGCGTCATTTCATCGATTCACGGTACATTTTGCGGTAGCTGCTAGCAAGGGTTTTTATTTGAAGTAAAACTTGAAAAAAATACTTGATAAGTACTTAATTAGTCGGGCGAATAGAACAATGCAATATATAAATTATGAAAAAGTAACGCGTTTAAATGACATCAACTCAAAACGTTTCTAGAGTCCATACCATAATTTGCGCCTTAGAGCAACGAGCTTTGTGCACGCTTCCAGCTTTATCTTTTCTTCCATCCCATGATTTTTTAAAAATTTCTCCTTAAATTTTCTGTTAAATTTATTTAAATCTAAAGGGGATAATTTTTACACCAAAATTATGCCATAAAAAATCTAGGTCGCCATACTCGTTCAAGAACAAAAGACCAGGGTACCTGTTCACCTCGTCCATTGATTGAAAAACAATACCATGTTTAGTGCGCAGTATTGGATGCGCAGCGCGATACTGAGGAATCACCTCAAGAGGTCAGCAGACTGAAGGTCGGCGTTTTGTCGTAGCTCGCCGCGAGCGGCTTTGAAGACTCCTTTAACTGGCCAACACATCCTTGAATTAATAAAATTTGTAAAGTAAAGTAGCTTCAATACGGAATTTCTTCTTCCTATAACTCAGGCATCTAAAATTCACTTTCAGGCTCTCGAGGTCTTTCGAGCTTGCACCACGAAGCGTAGGTTTGGAGACGTAAAGACGAAGAATCGACATATCGTTAAGATATTCACTCCAAAACAACAATACCCTTGAGAAAGAGTTAAATCTCGGAATTTCGCGGGGTTAGCAACATCCCAGGATTAAACAGATTTTATGAAACTCGACGGCAATGGCTGCCGAGGTGTAAATAGACATCATCACAATTTAGAGGAGCGTGGGCGAAGTTGATATGCCAAGCTTCCAACCATATCAACTCCGCATATGGCATATCAACTCCGCCCACGCTCCCTTGACTGGTTGTCTTGTGAACTTTATTATATCTGGCGTCACTCGTTTCTCAATTCTTACTGCGCGTGCGTAAGTAGTGATGTAGCTCCTTTAAGAAGTCAGCTTATCTTATGGAATTCATTTGACGGAGATTAAGTTTTTTCAAGTAGTACTGAGAGGAGGATTAACGCTACCATGGCAGTGAGGTAAGGCAAGTCTATCCCTCTAGTATGTACCTAAACAATGAATTGCATTAAGATCTCACTCACCCTGTGAATACCATAAGGACACACTTTCAAAATATTAATAATAATAATAATAATAATAATAATAATAATAATCGTATTAATAATAATAACAATGGTTGTAATAATAGTAATAACAATAATAATAATAAAACTAGACATGCATCATGAAGTAAAAAATCAGATAACTTACACAATTTAAACTGCAATGATTCATTTGTGAATTTACATCAATAGAAAACGCAACAATAACAATAATAATCGTAAGAAAAGGTAACCATAGAAACGTCAGGCACGATACAACCTCGCAATGAAAAACAGATTACAAGAATGCCAGGAATGCATTTTCTACGGGACAACAGCTTGTACACGATAATCAATCAAACAACGTCTGATTAGACGACGACCTTATTCGTGAGATTACACGAGGGGTAGTATGGGCGTGGTGCCCCTTGAAGTTAATCAGATTCGGTCGACCAAGCGTGTCCAGTTCCCCGGCATTGAAGAAGAAAAAAACCCAACAAACTCATTACATCTTTAACGAATACTTCAAAAAACAGAAACAAACATTAGGTTGTCTTTTTTTCTTAATGCACGGCAACAAACAGTAAATATCCATCTGGATTCCGGTCGCTAAAAAAAATTCGACTTAGTCCCATTCTTCCTCATCCGGGTAACCTGACAGATCTGTTGAATTGTTCACTTCCCCACGAGGATGTTTGTTTTGTGACTGAACATCGAGTTGTTCCATGCGCCTGTTGACTTCCCCTATCACATCTCGGGAACCACTGCCTTTAAGTTGTTCCCTCTGCAATGCGTAACAGAAAATAGACGAAAGAGAAATAAAACATTTTATTTGAGACGCACAGTATGATTATATTGACGAGGAGAGCGAGTTAATAAGCCAAATAACTGTACCTCTCTTCTATCTTTGGAGGCAAATCTTCCACCTGCAGGGCCATATGACGAACCAATAGCTTCTTCTGCAACGTGCTCAAGCCAATCTGGAACTTCTTGATATGCCTATGAAACCGAGCCACCGATCATCAGTGACATGTACTTAAACTAGATTGTATGAGATACAAGCATCATGTGCAGGCTTATTACAAACAAAGGCACAAAGCGTCAGTAATGTATCCGAAGAAGAATTTAAAGGCGTGAAACACTATTGCCAGCTTTCTAGGCGTAAACAAACAATTAAACAATTAAACATGCCGTAGACTAGTGCCGAGAAACATGGGTTCGAGAAACCAATATTACGAGGAAAAAACCCTGCTTATGCTTAAATAGGAAAAATTGAACTTTCAAACTTTCAATTCAAATTCAACAAATGATGACGATGATGATGACGGTGATGAAAGTAACAATAATAACAAGGATGTTTTCACTTTTTCTTCCATTTTTCTCTAGTAGTAATTCAAAGTGGATCGTTTTCATGTCTGGATAACCAAAAACTGAAAAGTTTATGTGTGATGAGTCTTAAGCACATGACGAATTATAGAACTTTCTTCATATCACTTGAATGCTCTAAATAAGTGGGTTAAAAAGAGCAGAAAATATCAAGAAACTACCTCAGATAAAACTTTAACCAGACTGCGGGCAAGCCTTTCATCTTTCCCTGGCTGGAAAAAGGAGGTAGCTCTTCCTTTGTTACCAATCCGACCAGTCCGACCAATTCTATGGACATATTCTTCTATGTCCTGAGGAAGATCAAAGTTGATAACATGCTTTACATCAGGTATATCTAGACCTCGTGCTGCCACTGATGTCGCCACAAGTACAGGAGCTCGACCGCTTCTGAAGTCCTGCAAGGCTGCTTCACGCTCTTGCTGTGTCCTGTCCCTAGAAAATTCAGTAACCGTCCAATCAACTATAGCACAAGTTGACGATTTAAACTTCACTACTCAACCCTAGAGAAAACCACCTACAGAGCCCCGCTGTTTTCATTCAACTACTTTGTAGAAATATGACGTAGAATCAGTACGAAATCACCCTGTATTCACTAGCACCTACACAATTACAGCATTTTTGTAAGCTACGACGTAATCCTTACTTTGACATTTTTCCG